GAGGCCATTTTCAAAGGGATTGCATTGTGCAATGGTTCATCTCCAAGATAAACTAAAGATTTCGCTATAGAAGGTTTGCTATAAAAGCCTTTATCCGTGGTCCACTGCTCAGAATTTGAAAGTTTAAAACTTATGTCATGTGTGTTATCAATGAAGCGCGATTACCCGCTTGTGACGACCTTTCTAAAAGAGACGAAAGGCAAAAAAATTGGGACTTAGAACTACAACCACTAAATGTCAAGGAAATCTGCACCCTGTGATTTTCCCTAGCCCGTGGAGCACGTACGTGCGGAAAACCCGAGCGAGATATGCTGTTCCTTTTCCATTATCTGTGTAGCCCTTTAAGCATGTAACCCATTGCACCTTTCGCGTGGGGACGTTTTTTCGCTATCCTAGCGCCCACATTCTGTACTACAATTTTCAGCCCGGCCGCCCACTTTACGACTGGCCAAAAAAAAAAAGGCTTCTGTTACCTTGATAGTATTATACCTAAAGTTCCATTGGCTAGGATTTCCTTATAGGCAATAGGTGTGCTTCTGTATTAAATACAAACTTATCAAGAGGCACCATGTCCACATCACTAAATAATAGGAATAAATACTTTAGAGTCTCCCCAAGGAAGAAACTTTCCATTTTGTCTCTGAATCCCAACTTTGTGTCTTTGACACTGTTCAACGACGAATATCCTCCAGTGCTTATCTTGGCATGTTGCTCGATGGCTTGGAATATGGACCAGCCATAATCCTGGTATTTCTTGTCTTTCGTTAGACGATAGAGAATAAATAATGATTCTACAGTTTCTGGTCGCAGCAAACAGTGGGCATCTAATGGCTGGAAAATGTTAAAAAAAAACACTCTTAAAGTGATGCTCCGATGACGTTCCAGCACCTAGAACAACTTGATGAACTCAGATGAAAGATATCTTTACTTTTTCACTAACAACCTCACTGTAGAATTGTGTCAAGAACAGTCACGTTGCGTATTAATTTGTCACGAGTTAATAGGTTTTGTTTGTATACGACGTTATTGTTTTTAACTTTTTTTTAATAGTTTTACATGATTATCAAATAACCTGTTTAAATACGTGATTTTCGGAAACGTGTGGTTCAGCTGATTTGCGAGTTACGAGTTGCGAGTTGTGAGTATTTTCGATTCGATTAAGCAATAAATTTATTCGATCAGTTCACTATTGTCGAGTTTATGTAATTAACATTTTAACTTTTCACCTCCAAGAGCCATCAAAAACATCAAAAACCCCAATCACATTCTCTAAGAATTAATTCTTTCCCAGAGAAAAAGGATGCCATGTGAACCGGAACGCAGCCATAGTTACATTCTTCTTGTTTACAGTGCACATGTGCATGACCTTCGGGTAGCGTTATTTGACAAGCGATATTCAAGACGAACATAGCAATGACCTCAATCGTATTGCGTTCGTAACTTCAGTGAGGGTGTAGTTATAGGAAATTTCTACGCTTTTGTCTTCGGAGTTGACGAAACATCGAGATATCGAGACATAAATAGTGATTTAAACTATGAGCACTGAATAGAAACTAAACCAAGATTTGAGAGTGACTAGTGTTGTATCCGTGTTACCAACTGCAGTACACGGTTGACAAGCTTACCCTAACTTGAATATCTTCATGTTTGGAAGGCCCTTGGTTAAAGTAAACCAGTTCAGCACTCAATCCAGTCGGCATACGTTTATACATCTGAACACATGTCTCCAACAGATCCTTTGCAAACTGTTCGTATTTTTTGTCCAGGCCATTCTGGACAGCTAACATTAATGTTCCTGGCAGAAAACACACCAAATGGTCCTGCAAGCAAAGAAATTAGATTTCT